GAGCGGCTGGCGATGTGTCTTCCAGGGAAAGATGCTATTATCCGCGTCTCCGCGGGGGAGGCCGTGGTGGTGAGGAGGAGGAGGAGGAGAGCGCTGTAAACTTGGAACAAGTTTGGGACGGGCGGCTCCGCGCTCGCTCTGGGGGTTTTGCCTTTTTTTTTTTTTTAAGGAAGGACAGAGGGGAAAGTCCCCGAGCCGCCACGGCGCTCGCAGTTTGTCAGTCACCATGTGTTTGTAAAAACAATAGAGGGAAAAGTTGTCGGACCTTCTTTTTTTCCTTTCTTTTTGCCTTTTTTTTTTTTTGGTTTTTTTTTTTTTTTTTTTTTTGGCTGGCTGGCGTCTCGGCTGTCTGGGTGGGGGAGCTGGTGGCGGGCGTTTGGTGGTCGGGAACCCCAAATCCCAACAAAGCCAGGTGTAGGGTGCCTGTAAAGCTGTGGAGTACCCCGGAGCAGGACTGACACTTACAGTACTTTTTCGTGGTTTTGGAGGGTCACACACGTGTGAGATAATAAAGCACTTTGGCAGAAGATTCCTCTCTTCTTTTTTTTTATTTTTGTTTTTTTTTTTTTTATTTTTGTTCTTTTTTTTCCCCCCCTTGGAATATTGTGAACATATTTGTGGCCATTTAAGGTAAAGTTACAATTTGCTGTTAGAGTAACTTGTTTGTGTTTTTTTGGTTTTGGTTTTTCTTTTTTTCTAAATTGTCGATCCCAATGTGTTATTTAAAAAGAGGTGCAAGTTATTCGATGTGTAAATGCAAATAGAAAGTACACCGTGTGCGCGCACACATAATTGCTCGTGTGTATAAATATACGTTCTATATACACGGTGTAATTACACGTGTGAGATCTACACTAAGGTGCAAACGCTCAGCGTGCTAACTCGGTGCTTTATTTCCTACCGGAAAATGAAGTCGAACTAGTTTTCGTGGAGTGTGTCGGGCCTGCAATAGCAAAATGTAAAATAAAAGTATAACATGCTGAGGGGGGAGGGGGCCGCTGGCATCGTCCCCAGAAACTTGAGCGTAAAGCGAATCAAAGGGCTGATTTTGCAAAGTTTGCAGCAATGCTCTCTGTAAATCGAAAACCTCGGGTTTGAAATTTAGCTGTAGGCACGGGGGGGGGG